TGGGTATGATCAAGAAGTTCACTGATGACGTGAAAATTGGTCGCGTAGTAAATAGTGAGGATAGCTGTAAAGTGCAAGAGGATATCAACTAACTGCTCATGTAGGCAGATCAGTGGCAAATAGGGCGGCACAGTGGCTCAGTGGTTAGCACTGCAGCCTCACAGCACCAGGGATTCAGGTTCGATTCCAGCCTCAGGCGACTGTCTGCGTGGAGTTTGCACATTCTCCCCGTGTCTGCATGGGCTTCCTCCGGGTGCTCCGCTTTCCTCCCACAGACTAAAGACGTGCAGGCTAGGTGGATTTGCTATGCTAAATTGCCCGTAGTGTTCAGGGGTGTGAGAGTTATAGGGGGATGGGTCTGGGTGGGATGCTGCAAGGGTCGGTGTGGACTTGTTGGGCCGAAGCGCCTGTTTCCACGCTGTAGGGATTCTATGATTCGATAATAAATGACAGGAACCTGGTAAATACTGAAGATCAGAGGGTCCTTGATGTGCATATCAACAGATCGCCGAAGGTAGCAAGTCAGGCAGATAAGGTTGTTAAAGGCAGCATATGGGAAACTTGCCTTTATTAGCCAAAGAGTAGAATGCAAGAGCAGGAAGGGTTACGTTGGAGTTATAGTAACTGCTGGTTAAGTCACAAGTGGAATACTGCACGAAGTTCCATCATCATGTTAGGAAGAGTGTAACTGCACTATGGGGATGCAGAGGAAACTTAGCAAGATGCTGCCTGGGCTGGAAGGTCTGAACCACAAGGAAAGGTTGGATAGGCTGAGTTGTTTCCTTGGAGCAAAGGTTAAAGGGAGACCTGATAGAAGTGTCTCAGGAGGGAATAGATTGGGTTGCTAGGGAGGTATTTTCTCAATCAGCCGAAGGGCTAATAACTAGGGGGGCATACATTTAAAGTAAGTGGTAAAAGATAAGAGGAGAGTTATTGTCATCAAGGTGATGGTGGGAATCTGGAACTCTGCCGCAAAGAGCTTTTGAATCAGAAACTCTCATAACATTTAAACATTATTTCAATATTCACTTGTATTCCCACAGCCTCAGGGGTTTAAGCCAATTGCTGGAAAAACAGATTAGTGTAATCAGATCTTGGATCACCAACAAGGACATGACGGGCCAAATGGCCAGCTTCGGTGCTTTAAATATTTAAGTTTGAGTAATTCTCAGGAGCAGAAAGCACCACAATATACTGCCATCCTCAATGATGGAGGTACCAAGCACATCAGTGCAAAAGATAAGACTGAAGCATTTGCAACATTCTTTAGCCAGAACAGTCTCCTGGGTGATCCATCTCATCCTCCTCTGCAGGTCCTCAGTGTCACAGATGCCAGTCTTCAGCCAAGTTAATTCACCCCATGTGATATGAAGAAACAGGTGAAGACACTGAAGACTTCAAAGGTTTTGGGCACTGACATTACAGTAATAGTACTAAAAAGTTTGAACAAAAACTTAATGCACTCTTAGCTAAGCTATTCCAATACAGCTACAACAATGGCACATACCCAACAATGTGTAAGATTGCCCAAGTGTGTCTCTTGCATAAAAAGCAGTACAAATGTAACATGGTCAATTAGTACTCCAATCTACTTTTGACCATCAGCTATCAAGCAGTACTTGTTTAGCAATAACCTACTCACTGACTTTTCAGTTTGGGTTTTGCCAGAATCAAAATATGCCTTGGCTCAAGCAGAACTGAAGAACTGAATTTCAGATGCGAGGCAAGAGTAATTCTCAAATGTGGCCCTGATGTCAAAGGCAGAGTTCAACATCGAGGAGCCCGCAAAACTAAAGTCAATTGAAATATGGGGGGAAACTTCCTCTGGTCGGAGTCATACATAGCAGGTCTGTTGTCTCAGCTCCAGGACAACCCCTCAGGAGTTCTCCAGAGTAGCGTCCTACGCCTAACCAGCTTCAATGACCTTTCCTTCATAATAAGATAAGAAGCCGGAATGTTCGCTGCTAACTGCAGAATATTCAGAATTATTAATGATGACTCAAATACTGAAGCATCCAATGTCCATACACAGCCAGACCCGGACATTAACTATGCCTGGACTGACTAGTAGCAAATAACATTCGTGCCACACAAGTTCCAGATAATGGCCATCTCCAATAAAAGGGAATCTAATCAGCTTGATTTTCAAAGACATTACCACCACCGAATCTCCTACCATTAATAGCCTCTGAATCACCAGTGACCTAAACTGAACTAGCCACGTAAATACTGTGGCTCAAAGAGAAGGTCAGAGATTAGAAATCCTGCAGTAACTTGATGAAACCCAAAAACCTAGTGCAAGCAAACCAACGGTAGAAGATATTAATGTTATCTTTGAAGGTGAACAGAAAATCAATGAATTTGCGAAAAACAACAGGCTTTAGAGTCATATAGAATAGAAATGGACAGAAAAAGACCTTTGCTGCTCACTTCATTAATGCCCCTATAAACCTCCATAACATCACCCCTCAACCTACGCTCCTGGGAAAACACTCCCAGCCTATCCAGCCTCTCTTCATAACAGAAACCCTGCAGTCCTGGTAACATCTCTGTAATTCTTTTCTGCACCCCACTCACCCCCTCCAAAGTTAATAATGCTCTTCCTATAGAAGGGTGTTTACAGAACTTAAAGAAATAGAACTGAAAAAGAAACAATTACAGAACCTAGAAGATGCCTCTGATGACATAATATGCTTGATGGAGATACAATGCTGGTGCCTTGCCAAATCAGAGAGGTTTTAATTAGCCACTCTCAGGGTGAGACACAGGAGATACTAGAAGCGGCAAAGCAAGTCTCGAAGATGAGATCCAGGCTTTGCAAACCCGTGTGGAGACAATTCCACAGGGTTATCAGATCTTAAAGTCCAGCTCTGTGCAAAATTTGAAAACAACATTAACCTTGCAACAGATGACAACTGAACTGTTTATTCTCACCAGTCATGTTTCACTCAATTGAATGATTTAACTTCTGTTGCAGATTGGATTAGGAAAGTGATTTTATTTTTCAAAAGTTATCATTTTGTCATACGTTTTGGATGGAATTTTAAGAACTTTGTCCTGCAGCTCCACTAACTTGATGAAAACAAATGCAGTAACTAACTCATGTCCTAACATCCCAAAACATGCCCACTATATGCACAGCACAAGTCAGGAGTGTCATGGAATACTCCATTTGCACGGATGAGTCCAGCTCCACTCAAGAAGCTTAATACCTTTGAGGACAAAGCACTCCGTGTGTTTTGCACCCTATTCAAACATTCACTTCCTCTCCCACCCACTCTTGGCAGTTGTGTGCACCACCTACAAGATGCATGGAGGAAAATGGCTTCTTGGACAATACCATCCAAACCCACAACCACTACCAACTACCACCAAGGGCAGCTGATACATGAGAACACTACCACCTTAAAGTTCCCCTCCAAGCCACTCATTATCCTGACTGGGAAAGCATAATTGCAGTTCCACAGTTACTGTGTCAAAATCTTGAAATTCCCTCCATAATGGCATTGTGTAACTACCTACAGCAAATGGACTCTAAGTTCAAGAAAGTAGTTCACCATAGCCTTCTCAAGAGTAATTAGGGATGGGCAATAAATGCTGGCTAAGCCAACAAACTCCACAGCTTTTGAATAAGAAAAATCAACCTAAGTCCACGTAAAGATCAGTCGGCTTTACCACAATCCTGTACTGTAACCAGACTTTGACTATGCATCAGAGATACAAAGAACTATCCTCCAAGTCAATGAGAACCACTGAACATTTTCTAGGACCCTCCTTGAAGTCAGCTCTCTGGTCAGGTTAAAAGAAACCTGAAAGTCAACTTTATACGGACTGAGCACTATGATCAAGTTGCAAAAACATCTCCCCAACAAGCACTGCTCTCTCAACTCTCAGGTGACCAGCATTGCAAGGGAGGACAAAGAAAAATTAAGTTACTCTTCATTTTGCATTAATGCCAATGCATTGTGATTCAATGACAGAGGAACTAGCTATAAACCATACAAAATGACAATAATTGATCCAGTAAGCTGCACTACTTTGAGCCTCACGAAAGGAAGCAAATCCTGTTCTCTGGAACCCCTTACCTCAAAAGGATGTTCTACCCGACTTGCCTAAAAATATCTGAAATGAGACTATTGGTCTGTTCAGTCAAATGGAAGACCCGAGTTCTCTCTAACATTCTTAATGGTTTTGTGTACCTCTGAACCTGGCGCACAGCAGCCTCTTCTGAAACATGATCAGCATGCCAACGCCGATTACTGCGTGCGTGTAACTTTGGAACGGCTACACAGACTGAAAGCTTAGAGGGAATGCTGAAGATGACACATGGCAGAAACTCAATCCCAAATAGATACCATCCTCTAAGCAGGGGGCAGCAATGATGGTCAAGAACACTTGGGAACAACACATGTGTTTCATTTAGAGATGCACGATAATACTGAGAACAATGGTTCAAATCCACTGCAGTTGTGGAATTTAAATTCGATTAATAAGATTGGGATATAAAGCTACTCTCACCTACTCACTAATGTCCTTTAGGGATGGAAATCTGCAAGTGACTCCAAATCCACACAGCAGACTCTTCCAACTGCCTAGCAAGCTACTCGTTTGAAAGGCAATTAGGACAGATAACAAATACTGGCCTTTCCAATGACATGCTCATTTATGCAAGAACAAAGAAAAGAACTGTTACTGTATACTAAGTGGATTAAGCTTTTTTTTCCACAGGTATTGCTCTCTCATCCTCTCAAAACACAGGTTCAACTCTTTTTGCCCACACACAAAATAAACCTGAGTTCATAGATGATTTTTCAAAACTAACAAGACTAAAATCGTAAATAAGTGTTTTCTTTTACAGCTATAAGCTGTACCCAGTATCTGTACGTTTAATTAAGTACAGGTGGACAGCTTTATATCTTTCAAACAAATCAACCAATACTTTTTATTTATAAATTGAAATGCTTCAAAATTTAAAGATTGTCAAAAGATTTACAACTCACCATGAATGATCAGTTCAGAATCCTTATTCAGCTCATACAGCCGAAATGCTTCTTCTAATTCCAGCTGGGATGAGACAGTGCAGGGGTCACCTAGTCAATAATGAGAACAACACCATAATGTATATCTTCAGAATATAATGCTGTGACATTCAGCTTTGATGCAAACATCTTTTCAGACATACTTCATACCTCTAAGAAAAATGAGACAACAAGGTGTAGAGCTGGATGAACACAACAGGCTAAGCAGCATCAGAAGAGCAGGAAAGCTGATGTTTCAGGTCTAGATCCTTCTTCAGGAACGGGGGAGGCAAGCTGGGCTGGTTTTGGGATCCGGTCGGGGGAGGGGAGATTTTGAAGCTTCAGATTTTGAATCGTACCGGCTCGTACCCGCCTCCCACCTATCCACTCCTCCCACCTCAAGCCCCACCCCCATCTCCTACCTACTAGCCTCATCCCGCCTCTTTGACCCATCCTTCCTCCCTGGACCGACCTATCCCCTCCCTAACTCCCCACCTACGCTCACCTTTACTGGCTCCAACCCCGCCTCCTTGACCTGTCTGTCTCCTCTCCACCTAGCTTCTCCTCTATCCATCTTCTATCCGCCTCCCCCTCTCTCCCTATTTACTTCAGAATCCCCTTCCCCTCTCCCATTTCTGAAGAAGGGTCTAGGCCCGAAACGTCAGCCTCTCTGCTCCTATGATGCTGCTTGGCCTGCTGTGTTCATCCAGCCCTGCACCTTGTTGTCTCTTAATAATTAGTAGTTAGCCAGTTATCAAATATAGAATATCAAATTATTGACAGTTTTGTGGTATGTTACATCAAGCAGATTGCCTTTTGGAGCCCTCTTAGAGCTACGCAAGAACTTACCACAAGAATCAACGTTCAATAACAGGGATCTTAGAATTTCCTTCATTAATTCTGTAGAATTCTAATGATAAGAGTGACAAAAAAAAAAGCATCGTAGGAATGGTCTTTTTGACTGAAATTGTAGTAAACAACAACGCGAATACAAAAACTTTGGTTATTTCATTGGTGAAAGATCAGTGGGACAATTAGAGGATTTGTCACTCTATACTGGGCTCTCCCTGGGAATAATGTGTGAAGGCATATAATATGGGGTAAAGAAATAGTTCTAGTGCTGTGACAGCAATTTGAAGTGGTGAATTGAAAGTGTCTTGCAAGAGAATAGTTTTGGACCATACTAATGGAAATGTAACACTTTCCTATAGTTCAGTAACACCACCTCATATGAAGAAAAAGGTACAATGGATAGTGGTGAAAAAAATCTGGGTGGAATTTAATCCAAAGGAGGAAGGCCTACCACCTAACAGCCACCTTTCTCCATTGTCCCCTACTGCCACTGGGAACGGTGGCAATTTCCAGCAATGCACAAAGGCCTAGAATTATTAAGGGAACCAGGCCACAAGAAGCAAGCACATGGTGGGGTATTGCTATATGGGTAAAGGCAAGAGAGGGTGTAAAGATAAAGCACAGTATTGCCTCTCAGTAGGTTTGGCAATCAGGCACTGAGCACCTTCGAATCAGGAACATCCATCTCACAATAGCCGTGTTTCTATTTCTGGAGGTGAAACCTCAATTAGCACGTCAAGAAGGTGGCACTCCATGAAACAGTCCCAACACACCCCCATGCCTGATGAAATGCCCCGACCAGCTTCCAGACACAGGTAATGAATTCCACCATGTGAGAAATATGCTGATTAGTTGCTATCTGGTTAGACTTTGTTTTCTAGATCCCAGAGTTTGGAAACAGCAAAAAAGTCATCATATCAACAACTCTAATTTTCTTTTAATGCATCTTTAATATGGGACTAGTATTTCCAGATAACGTATCTACAAACTGTGTTAATCCATCTCCTGGCAATAAAGTAAAAAATCATCAGGTTGCGACTCAGCTTCAAATTTACAGGTACAACATGCAGATGGTTACAGAAAAATTCAACAGACAAGGACAAGGTTTTTATTTTATCAGTATACGTACTCAGATGATCTATGGCTTTGACCATGGCTAGAACACATTCAATGCTGAAGCAGTTCCGTCAGCCACAGCCAAGGGAGGAATTTACCCCACACTGTTGGCATTACTAATCATCACAAACTAGCCCTGAAGGATTCACCTCCTCAACTTCTCCCCTCGCTTGAGGCGTGGTGACCTTCAGGTTAAATCACCACGAGTACTCACTCACTCTCCGTAACGAGAGCGCAACCCTATGGTCTGGTAGGACGATGGCGACTTTTACCTTCTGTCAAAATAATAGGGAGACTAAATTCTCGTCGTTATTGAAGTGCAAATAACACAGCAACTTCAGGGGACAGCAGCTGCTTGATTAAATACAGACAACAGATGATTTACTGTGGATGATATGCTGCGTTGGGAGTTTCACAAAACAGTATTTTGTTGTCCAGTTTCTCATCCAAATATAGTGAGATGCATTAAATTATTTGAATGAAGTGTTAATTACTCTCAAAAAACTTATCCCCAACATCTGCAGTTCTTACTGGCAGAACTCAGCAGGTCTGGTAGCATCTTTAGGGAGAAAGCAGAGTTAATGCTTCGAGTCCAGTGGCTCTTCACCAGGATTTAGTTCTTTATTTCTTGGAGTTGAAACATTAACTCTGCTTTCTCCCTAAAGATGCTGCCTGACCTACTGAGTTTTGCCAGCAATTTCTGATTTTGTTTCAGTCAGCTTCTGTCATTTTAAATTTGCTAATAAACGTACAGCATCTCATTCCTTCAGATATTAATTGCTGTTAAGGTCTCTTTACATTTTACTCTTCATTCACTTGCTTCATTTCCCTCTTTCTGTCTCCCCTCAATTTAATTTCCTGCATCCGATGTGCTATTGAATTTAGCATTCCAAATTACATTTCCTTGTTCTAATCCTGAGCTGTTCATCACTAGATCACTTCAGCATAATTGGTTAATACGATGCACAGTCATTTCCCCATTCAGTCAGCTTCCAGATAACCCTGTAGAGGACATGCTGCCAATCACATATCACTCCCAGTGCAAAAATCATGGTAACCAAATGAACCAGGAGCAACACTCACTAATGGCAGATGCTATTAGTTGACCTATTTCAGGAATTTTGCAACCAAAATTTCATACTGTATGTGTGCATTTTTAGAAACTTAACTTTTGGTAATAAATGTCAGCATAATGCACTGCAGACACAGAAACTGGTAACAGAAGTCAATAAGAACAATTATCATGACTTCTGCCTGCAGGTACTGGTTTGAAATAGTTGCCTACTTTAGAGTGATGAAAAATCAGCCAAGTTATTCTGATAGGTCACAGCTCCTCTGATTAGTTAAAGCTTCATTCAGCAAGTGTCTAAACAATTGTTGCCTTTCAACAGTTATCTGCAACATTTAATTTAACAATAGGAGCATTTTCAAAACCAGCAACAGTTCTACAAGTTCAAGCACTGCAATGGTGTCAACCTGAGGCCAAGCTTCTTAAAAACCAAATGGGCGATAAGAAACTAAGAATACGAGAAAAACAGAGGATTAGACCATTAGCTCATTCAGCCTGCTCAACCATTTAAATGGTTAAAACTGATCATTGGCCTCAAATCCACTTTTCTATCTGCTCCCTATTTTCATTGACTGTGAGGCCAAGAAACCCAGTTATGAGGAAGGGTCACTTGATCAAAACATGATGCTGCCAGACCTGCCGAGCTTTTCCAGCAATTTCTGTCTTTGGTTCATAATTCACAGTAGTCAGTAGTTGAAATTTTCAAGGATGCACAGCTCTTTGAATGAAGAGATTTCTACTCAATTCAGTCCTAATTATCAGCTCTTTCACCAGACACTGTCCCCCCAAAATCTTCTAGATTTCTCAGCAATGTAAATAACATTGGCGTCCCTAATTGAGCCTCTTCATAATCTTGTAAGTTTGAAAAAGATCATTCTTGTGACTTCATCTCCTCCAGAGTACTCACCTCCAAACCTTTACACTTTAATTCCTTAACCACCCAGAATTCTGCATCTACCATCTTCCAAAAATTTACAAACAGCACTGCCCTGGCAGAGCCAGCATTCCAGTCTGTTTTTGCCCCACTGAGTTTACTTTCTTCCTTGCCTGTTCAGTCTCTCCCCAATTACAACCATAATGCCTCAGATCAGTTCAACGATTCCCAGTCTCCTGGTCCAACTCCACACCTCTTCACCATAATGCGCAATCACTCTATTTGTCTGTTCCCCATCAGGATAGCCTAAATGCTCTCTGCTTCTTTCTTGAATTGTGGCTGTAACAGCTGCTCCTTTTTTTTGAGGTATTTTCAATGTTGGAGCCGTTTTCCTTAAATTCTAGGAGCAGTAACTACTGTTTTATAAGCTGTTGCAATGTTTTGAAACTTTGGGGGAAAAGGAGCAAGACAACTTTACAAAGGAGCAAGAGACACAAAGGCAGTGACCACATGGGCAGTGATTCAAACAGAAAAAGAAACCTGCACTGCTATCTGATGCAGTAGTAACCTGCACAGCTGCTGCCTTTGCTGTCTGGTTTCAAGTATCTCTGGACATCGGGGTTTGTTCTAAGAAAAATGAACAAACAGTGAAATTCACAGCTGACCTTGGAGAAACTTGTGTGGGGGAGCTCACAGCAGGGGAGCAGCTAAGTGCTTTTTAAAATGCGACCTTATTGTTTTTCTTTTGTAAATCTATGATAGTGAGTGGAGTGGGTTTTTTTAATTATATGTTGTCATTATGTCGGGACTGGGATATCGTAGCAATTACAGAGACATGGCTCAGAGATAGACAGGACTGGCAGCTTAATGTTCCAGGGTATAGACGCCAAAGGAAGAATTGAAAGGAAAACACGAGAGGACAGGGAGTGACATTTTTGATTAAGGATAACATTATAGCCGTATTTAGGGAGGACATTCCTGGGAATATTTCCAGGGAAGTTATTTGGGTGGAACTGAGAAATAAGAAATGATGATCACCTTATTGGAATTGTACTGTGACCACCTCCCAGAATCCACCCCCGGCCCTCTCCCCAGTAGTCAGCAGGAAATTGAGAAACAAATTTGTCAGGAGATCTTAGTTATCTGCAAGAATAATAGGGT